TCCCTAGCTCTAATTGGATCTGAAATCAGCTGGTTCATACAGATGCCTTCTGTATTTCTATTCTATACATTTGCAAAACTTCATTGTTTATTTATCCATTTTGGATGGGTTCAGTGCATTGACAACCAATATACGCAATTCTTTAACTTCAATTGCTATTTATACATAGTAATTTTCAAATTCAGAAACTATTTGCTGCTTTTTCATAGAGTACATAATAATGGTGAACAGAGGAGCCCTTCTATGAACAAAATTTATATTCTAAATGCTTTAAAATTTGGATCCCAATTACGTTTGGCATTGGGTAATCAAGGTTCTCTTTCCCTTTTTTTATATTTTTTTTCTATTTTTTTGTACATTAATTTTAATGTTGGAAAACCGGTTTGCAATTGCCTACCTACCACAAGAGCAATTTATATATCACAGACATTAGAGCCAAGTTCAAAACGCGCTAAACAACAAACTATAAATATAGAAAGAAAAAAAACATGAGCAGAACATTAATCATCTGCTTTTCAGTGTGTATGTGTATCCATGTATGTGTGCATGTGTCTGTGTCTGTGTTCGTGTGAGTTACGCATGTGCGTTAGTTAATTTGTATGGTTGCGCTAATTAAGCGAACGAAGCCCAAGACTTCAGCACTTGCCGTAGTTTCGATTCACTTCTTAGTCATGAGTTGCCAGCCGACTCTGAAGCCGGGCGACATTCGTAACGCATCAAAGCTCACAAAGAAACTACAGCTGAGAGATTGTTAAAAAAAAAAAAAAAAATAAAAAAAAAAATATAAAAAAAGTCACACACACATAGAGCAAAGTATACACATGTATGAATGAGTGTAAAGAGCCCGGAGACCCGAAATTTGTGCTCAAGGTCAAACTTTGAAACTGGGCATTCAACTTGATCGTTTAATAAACGCGTTCGCTTCTTCGCTCGTTCTTTCGTTCGTTCTCATTCGTTCTCACTCGATCTCGTACGTTCATTCGTGTTTGCTCATTCGAGTAGAACATGCGAAGGGTGAGTTGCGTCGTCGCGCAAGCGTATTTCACATGAGAGAATTTTTGTTTTGGCGCAGATACCGATACAGTTTCTGTTTGGTATTTGTGAGTGTGACCAAATATGGAACAAGAAATGTGTGGCCGCATTGTGGGAAAGATCGTTGAAGCAATCACTCATTGCAAGTTTATTCTCGCAGTAAGCAATTGTTTTTTTTTTTCGTTTTTCGTTTTTTTTTTTTTTTAGTCATCATAAATTTACTTTTAATGATTTAATTGCAGTCGTAGTTATTATTTTTATTTTCTTTATATGTATTTATTTATTAACTGAACTGGCAGCTAAATCGTTACGTTAAACACTAATTGTTGAATATGAGTTCTTTCAACTCGATAGAATATGACTCAGCCCCCTCCCCTCCCCCACTCAATGTGTGCACAGGTAAAACGTGTTTCGCTCTTTTTCTACCTTGCTCTCTCTTCTATTTTATCGGTAATTTCAATTAACTACAAAAACACACATAAAAAAAACCCCTCGTTGTCATTTGACACAATGCAAAAAGTGAATGTAGCATGTAAATTGTGTTATCGGCAACTACTTGCTACCGATAAGCGTTATGAAATGATAAAAACCAAAAAAAAGAAGACAATTATATTAGGGTTGCCGAAAGTAAAATACTCTTTTTTCAGACAACTTAATGCTCGCTTAATGTTTTCGATATATAGTTTAAAGCTGCAGATATTTATCAAATTTGAGTTTGGCTTTTAATTAGATTAGATGTGTATATTTTCATTTTATGCTTATCATAAGCTGGAAGCTTTTCATGGACTTTTAAAAACCAGCAGACTTATATTTGGGACACGAAAAAGTTCTGTCACATCTCTATTTAATGTGCAAACCAATAAATGTTCATAAAATGCGAGGGCGCAAAAGCTTCTTATCAGTTAAATGTTAAGCCTATGCGGGTGCCACACCACATGCCCCGACTACTTTCATTATTTTTATTTTATTTTTTTTGCTTCTCTCCAACCCCTACCACACCTTTACATACATATATTATATTATATATATATATATATATATACATATATATATATATATAAATATGTGTAAATGGATATCTTTGGACTGTCAGTTATTTGGTCAGTTGTCAGTTGTTCAGTTAACAGTAAGCGAGGCACAAGCGAGCCGCCAACGTCATTGGGAAATCAAACTAACTAATTCTGAACGCCAAACATTAATTTGACATTTTGTTTTGCTGTTATTGCTAATGCTATTTTTACTGTTGTTGTTAGTGCTAACATAGGCAATGCAGTTGTGCTAAAGGTGGGTTAAACGAGCGCTTAAAATAACGGCACTTTTTGTACGTACGATGTGTGTCACTATATCTAGTGTATGTATGTATTTGTGTATTTATGTTTGTATGTACGTTGTGTGGGTAAATCGAGAAATTATTGTCAAAATATACATATGTATGTATGTATGTTTTTAAGGGTTGGCCTGATAAGCGCAACACTTCGGTTTCGAGGCAGATATTTTTGATTTTTGACAAAGTTGGACAGCAACTAAGTAGTTAATTCAATTAATACTAATTTAATTATTTTTTTTCTGCTATAGATATGTATACAAAATAATGAATACATATAAATGACTTTTTGTTAAGAGGGCAAGAGATGGACAGAGACAGAGACAATTTCAGCCAAGTTGCAACCAAAGCGATTTTCATTTGTAGCCACATTTTCGTGGTGTGCTTTAAAATGTAATGCGTCTAATTTGTGTCCCTTTAATTGGGATTGCTTAAATGCGACAAAGCGCACTTAATTTTTGCTAAACACGTCATCCCCCATCTCGTAAAGAACCACAACCACAACTCACCAAAGGTGAAAATGTCACTGTTACCACCACAGTCAAACTCAGGCTGTAAAATTATCACGTGTGTATGTGGCCAAAACAAATAAAAGCGAAATACTCATACTGCCACTGTAATTATGAACATGTTCAACATAGCAATGAGCAAGCGAAATTATGCAAAAAGGAAGCGCTGGCCGTGAAGTTGAGTAGAGTCGAGTCGAGTTGAGTTTGAAATGAAAACGACAACAAGCTGAGAGCTACAGCAGAGAGAGCAGAGGTGTTGCTAGAAGGGGCGGGCAAACAACGCAGTCGAAATACGATTAAAGATGAGCTAAGCCGAGCTGAGCTGAGCTGTGCCAAGGTGAAGTGAGGTAAGCCTAAATGAAGTGGTGCTGGTGGTGGTGGATTGTACAATAAGAAGTATGTACAAGGGTACATACGTATATATACTTATGTATATGTGTGTGTATATGTAAGGCAACTACACGCTGCAATACAATACGAATATGAATAAAGACGAAGACAACAAAGCGCAATCATGAAATAACCGTTGACAATGAATGTTGAAATATGCGAGCAAGTGCGAGCGAGATAGACTGACGCACATGGACAAAGACAAGAGGCAACAGGTAAATAGCCAACTATCTATGTGTGTGTGTGTTTGTGTGTAAAATTATGTTTAGGTAGATATTCGTATCGTGTACAAAAAGTAAGCAAAAAAAATAATGAGGTGAGAGAGCAGTGATAAGAAAACATGTTAAAATAAAAGAGCATGAATAAAAATAAGAATAGAGGCTTAAAGAAAAATGCATGCAAGAAACTTACAAAAACAGCGGGGAAAATGTTGTTGTTGGTGTTGATATCGATGCTGTTAAGTTAGAGCCTAGCTTGATTATTGCTTTTTGTCGTTTTTTCCTTTGATTTCCTGTTGCAATAATTTATTGGCACGTTCATAGGGACGCAACGCGAAGAATTTAACAATGAATCACTAGAAGAGCATGACAAGGGGGGAAAAGGAGAAGGCAAACAAATTGCAGATATCGGCACATTAATAACAGATTACACTCGACAGACGCGAAGTAGACGAGACGAGAGATGAAAAACACACGTGGAATGCAATAAGAATTTCAAAAATGTTACAAAACAAAACACATACACATAGGAAGGAAGGGGAGACGGTGCGAAGATGTATGCAAGGAAATTACGCGCGAGTTCACTTTTTTTATCTGCTTCACAAACAAGGAGAGACGCGAGTGAGTGTGACCAGGTGGGTCCAACTTCAAGCACACACGAATTGCATAAAAAAGGACACGAGAAAGCTTCAAAAGGAAAAAAAAAGAAAACGAGTTGAGAACAAAGCACCAAATTTTTTATTAACTTCGAAATTGACATAAAACACAAATTTAAGTAATTTCTTGTGAGTTTGTTTTGCTTTTTGTTGTTGTTTTGCAAATTAATATTTGTATTTATGGTTGTTGAACAACGATTTGACGTCGTCGCGTCATTTGGCGGTTTTTGTTTTGCTTTTGGCAACTTTTTTTTCTATTACTGGTCACTTTGTTGTTGTTGCTGGTTTAGCAAATGCAATTAAATGGTTAAGCAAATATAAATTTCCCGCTGGCTTGTTGCTGTTTGCTTAAACAATTGAATCACACGCAACTGACACACAGACACACACACACTCACGCACAGAGAGAAGCAACCGCACTCACACACGCGACGAGATGACGGCCGCAAATTGTTTATTTGCTTGCGCGTCTTCTTTTGCAATACGTTTTGTAGCAAGAGTTTATCTACGTACATATGTGTTTAGATTTAATTTGTTTAATGCAGTTGAGGGATTTAACTTGTTTCGAAAGTAATTGATTGCATTTAACGCACAAATGCTTTGTTGCTTGCGCACAAACTAAGTTTCAAAGTTAAGGAAACTCGTGAATTTTGAATTTTTGTTTCGCCGTCCGCACACTTGCGTACGTACAACAACATTAACAGTGAATGAGAGAGAATTGGCGATCGCACGCTTCTGAGAGAATAACATTATGTCTGCCACATAACAAGCAGCGAGCGTTAACATGATCTGTTATTAACAGCCGGCTATTTGCAAAACTGCCAATTTGAGTAGTGATAATGAATAGCAAAACTGTCAAACACCTTTCTTCAGTTCTACGTAAAACGACCAGCTGTCAGGTGACTAGTGAAAATTACAAATTTACTTTTGTTCGCGCGATTTAATACGATTTATTGGTAAATATCGATAGACATGATACTTTGTTATTTAGCCAGTCTGCACTAACATGTCTAACATCATTCAGACGGGTGCAGCTACAGATCAACAGGAAATCTGAAACAAATGTTATTAAAATATCGATTTGCAGCTGTTGCTGTTGCTCATGCTGCAAAGCTGTGCGATATTTAGCAGACAAGATAAACAACAATGTAAGGGTCAGCTGATCAGCAGCGGCGGATCTATAGCAAACAGCTTTTGACAGTGAGCTCAAAATATCGTTGATTTTTGAATTATTTGTACTATGAATCAAATGTGGAATTTACACAATTAATCAATGGTTACGGTACAAAATGATAAGGCAAGACCTTAACATAAATAACTCTCATTTATTTATATTATTTATTATTATTTCTCAATCAATACAGTTTATTTTAACATCCAAACTGATTTAAGCCAATCTACCGGAACTGCTCCACTTTATATTTACACACACATTTCCATATTTCCATCTTTGTGTGTAGATGTGTGTGTGTTAAGCGAGATTTCAATGTGCGGGCGGCGAGCGTCAAAAAGTTATTTGCATAAACAAAGCGCAGTTGAACAAAACGTTGGCAAAACGAACACGCCAAGCGATTAGTTCGGAAAGAACGGGGCAAAAATAACAAATGTGAAATGTGAAGTCAAAAATAATTCGAAAATTCGATATTAATAGAATACGATGAAAAGTAAACTAGCAGAATATATACACACAACTATATAAATGTATATATATGTATAACACATACAGTCAAACGTGTATAGAAAAGTCCAAAGTTCAATTGAAAATTGGGTAAATATTGCCAACAACCCCTCAAAATTTGTGTTAAGCTTTGTTTTCGTTCATTATTCATAAAGAACAACATTGGCTATGTATTTAAATATGCATACATACATGAATATATACAAACATATTTAGATATTCAATTGTGTATCGATGCATAAGCTTTATAGAGTTCTCACAACAAATCGTCAGATATTTAAAATTAAAACAGCACACAAAATTCTTAAATATATTGCAATGTTTGCTTGTTGCACTCGCCTACAATTCACATGTGTGTGTGTGTGTCGGTGTGTGTGTGTGTGTGTCGGTGTGAGTATGTCAGATGTGTTTACCTATTTGTTTTTAATAAAAGCAAGCAAAGTGCTAGACATTAATATTAAAGACTATTTGCCCAGTGGCGCCACACAGCAATAACAAAAACAACAACAGCATATACAAAGAAAGCAGACCGAGTTATTTGTATACAAATATCTAAATAAAAACACAATTTAATATTGTAAATTTATTTTGAAAAATAAAATTATTAATTATTCAAATGGTAAACATGTCAAACAGCTAAAAATACAATTAAATCAGTTGATAAAAATATATAGAATATAAAAATATAATTTATTAAAATGGTAAATATGTCAAACTGCTAAAAATATAATTAAATCAGTTGATAAAAATATATATAATATAAAAATATACTTTATTTAAATGGGAAATATATTAAATAATGCAAATATAATTTAATATTGCTAAATAAACCGTTTACAATCAATTTTTATTTTATAAAATAAATACACATAACACTAATCAATTTATTGTGAATAATAATAAATATTTAAATTAGAAAAACATACAATTTAAATATATATCATTTGATATTTATAAATATGTCATCAGATGCCCCTTTGGTGGCGCCACTGCTTTAAATATGCAGCACATGGCAGGGATTTACTTAAATTAAATGTGCAACACACACAAAAAAAAGCGAGCACATTGTGAATGAAACGTGTTGCAGGTGGTGCAGTGTGGTGTGCTGCAGATTTTGGGTGGTTGAGTGTGGGAGGTGGTTGCATTCCGACAGACTGCGATGCGAGTAATTTGCAAAATTTGCACTAAAATGTAAACAAAAATTGAAATGTGCAAATATTTGCATGGGACCCAAAAATATGCTTCGCCATTGGATTCAATTGAATTGCTTCTGTTGTGATTTGTTTTGTTTTGTTGTTGTTGTTGTTGTTCTTGGTGCATTACTAGACTGTAAGCGCCTGAGCAACCCAACCCCTCCCCCTCTTAACTACACATTTGTCCGATTGTAGCCCGTTGTATTGACAGCTTTCTGAACAATTGAAAAAGCATGTGAAATCAACAAAAAACAACAACTAAAATGAAGACTGAGACTGAGACTGAGACAGACTCACATGTTGAAAACAGTTTGCAACTGTTTGTGTTGTGCGTGTGTGTGTGTGTGTATAGCTGTCAGTGGCACTGAAAGCATCTTGTTAGCAGGCACAGATACAATGCTAAATTTTAGGATTTGCATTTTTTTTGCCTTGATATTATCGACAAAGATTTTGCACACAATCTAAAAACTGTGGAACACAATACAATCGTTGAAACAATTCGCAAATAAACAAACAAATAAACTTTTCTAAGTCTATGTCTAAGTTGCCACTTTCCATTTGCAGTCAATTTCAACCACCCCCTTCCCCCCGGTTCAAGGCCCCCCGTCGACTCCTCAGTTTTGCACTCGAATCAACAATAAACCAGAAAAAAATCATTTGCCATTTGAGCATTTTTATAATGGAGCTGAGCACACTTACATACATACATATATATATATATATATATCAAAATCTGAACTTTGCTTAGAATTATGCAACTTTATTTAATCTGTTTGTTTTTAAGGAGCTTGGCAAACTTCTGCAATTATTCTGAAGCATTACGCAAATTAAAGCTAAAATTCTATTTGCAATTTTGAGTGCAGTTTGATTATATTATTGTTATGATTATATTATTATTATGATTATATTATTATTATTGTTGGGGGACTTCCGGCAACCTATTTATATAGCATATAGCTCTGTCATCAATCATTATTCTTGGCAATTTCTACTTTTTTTCGAGTTGCAGACATGTTTTGCTGGCATATCAAATTAATAAGGATGTGAAAATCAAATCAAATTTTTTATTTAACTAGCTGTTCTGTCGAAGTATTCTGATCTTTCCAATTATATAATTATAGCTAAAAAAAAAATCATTTTTAATAAGATTTTTTTTTTTGCAAATCGGTTTTGTTTCCAACGAGTTATAAAGATTATTATACTTATATTATCAGAAATATATATATATATATATTTTTTTATGGTGTTAATTTGTTAATTTATAATTAAATTTAAAGCTGATTTCAATCAAATTTTACATATTTAAATAAACTTTTATTTCAAAGCGTATTTAAACTTCGGCTCTATTCTTTGTTGAAGTTATTTTGAATGATTAAAGCGTATTAGTATAAATTATCCAGAGAAAATTGTGCTGATAAGCCCAATGGCATAAATAATTAACTATTCATGATGGCACTGTCAACGTTCAGTTAAGGGTTATGCCAATTAAATTGATTATTTATGACCAAGCAACAGTTAAATCTTTTTTTTAGACCACAACAAACATGAACGGCACTTAAATTCTAAAAGCAAACAATCAAATAGAGTAATTTGTGGCATTTGAATTTCATATAAGTGCGGCAACATTTGCTAGCTTTTAGAGCACAACAAAAACAAAAAAAAGAGCATTGACAACAACAACAACAACAAACAAGGAAACACAAACAGTGAAGCTTGCCTTCAAGTAGAATGACGGACACGGATGTGCAGCTGGAGAAAGGTGAGTGAAAATGTTCGAAATGTTGAAGACAGCTCGAAATTATGCAAAACTCAAATGGACCAACACAGAATACTTGAATTGAGCTCGCTCGACTAGTAAATACCCTGTTGGAAATCGTTAGAATCGTTGCATGCCCCCGCTGAAAGTACTTTGCTAAATAAAATAAATAAATAAAATATGCAAATTATTTTTGTGGGTTTTTCTTAACCGATCTTGAATACATTTTTCTACAGTTGCTAATTAGGAATTTTCCTGGCAAATTAAAAAAGTTTTGAATGCATTTTTCTACAGTTGCTAAATAGGAATTTTCCTGTCAAATTAAAAAAAGTTTTGCATTAATTAAAGTCAGAAATTTGAGGTCTAAACTCACCCAGTCTCTGACCTAGACAGAAAGAAGAAATGGCTAGCTTAACTGAGCTACTAATGCTGATCAAGATCATATATATATATATATATATATATATATGAGGTCGGAGATGCCACTTTCTTGCTGTCACATCATTTTGCATAACTAACTAAAGGGGAAAAGAAAAGCGGGAAAATGGAAAAGTGTGCCAGAAACTCAGTGTCTAATTTGCATTTGCATTTGCAGTGCCACGCCTTGGACTGCGTCACTTGCAGGCGCTGCTGCTGTTCCTGGGCCTCGTCGTCAATACCATACTGCAGTTTAATGTGGGCGTGGCCGTTGTGGCCATGACAAATGCAACATCCACCAATGCCGATCTGCCCGTAAGTGAACCATTTTTATTTCTGTTTTGATTTGTTTTTGTTTTAATAATTGTCATTTTTTTGTGGTCCTTTGCAGTACTACAATTGGACGGAACGCCAGAAATCCTATGTGCTGTCCAGCTTCTATTGGGGCTCAGCGCTGACACAGTTTCCCGGCGGTTATCTGTGCAAGCGTTTCGGTGCCAAAACGGTGCTTTTCTGGGGCAGCTTTGGCTCGGCGCTGCTGAGCGCGTGGACACCGCAGAGCATCTATGTGGCCGGTTGGCGGGCGTATTGTGCCATCCGTTGGCTGCAGGGCCTCTGTCAGGGTGTCACACTGCCCTGCATCCATCAGCATCTGGCCAATTGGGCGCCAGCCGTGGAGCGGACACGTTTGGGCGCCTTTGCCTACACCGGCTTCGATTGCGGCAATGTGCTGGCCATGTATGCAGCTGGTATGTTGGCCAGCTCGTATCTGGGCTGGCCGGGCATCAGTTATACGTCGGCTGCATTGGGTGTGTCCTGGTGCCTGCTCTGGCTGCTGCTGGGCGCCAATTGTGCCAGCGAGGCACGCTGCATTGGCAGCGCCGAGAAGCGCTACATCGTCGGTGACGTGCAGCGGCGGAGGAGCGTGCGACGGGAGCGCAGATTGGCGATACCCTGGCGTGGCATATTCACCTCGGCGCCGTTTTATGCGCTGCTCTGCGCTCGATGCGCCGACACATGGGGGCTGGCAACGATGCAGGCGGAGCTGCCAGCATATTTGAATGGTGTCCTTGGCTTGGAGATGCACAGCAATGCGTTCTTCTCGGCGCTGCCCTTTCTGCTGATGTGGGCCATGTGCTATGTGTATCTGCTCATTGCCGATGTGCTGCTCCGGAGGCACTGCCTCAGCTTGACCGCGCTGCGTAAGACATACAATAGTATTGCATTGTGGACACCAGCTGGCATTATGTTGGCCCTTGGCTTTGTGGATGCCACACAAAAACCGCTGGCCATCGCGCTGGTCACGTTGAGTGTGGGCGTCAGCAGTGCGGCAACAATTGGCAGTGAATTGAACACAATTGATCTGTCGCCGGTGCATGCCAGCATCCTCTCCGGCATTCTTAGTACGTTCACCAATCTGGTGGCAATGCTCACGCCCCTCGTCGTGGGCGTGCTGGTCAAGGAGCCAACGGAACGCAGCCAGTGGCAGGTTGTATTCAGCATTGCGGCCATGGTGCTCTTTGGCGGCAATGTCATCTATCTGATTTGGGGCACCGCCGAGACGCAGCCCTGGAACGACAACGAGCCACATTGCGAGGCGGCGGACAGCGACTTCGAGGATGCCAAACTGGAGATTTCAGCAGAGGCAACTGCCAACAAAGCATTAGCATAGATATGTAGATAGATTCAATGTAATTCAATACTTAACACGTGCATATCATTCATACAAATTACATTCAAATTACTGTCAAATAGGTCAAATACGATTAAGCTTCTTAAGACAGAGTCTCTCTTTCTCTCTCTCTCTCTCTCTCTCTCTCTCTCTGTCTCTGTCTCTGAGGGAGTCAGCGAGGGATTGGTGTGGAAGAAGTTTGTTGCCATCCAGTTTAGTCAATAGTTAAACCATTATTAATTTTTAATTAATTTGATTGATTATTCTCTTTTCTCTCTTTATTTTTGATCGTTTTAAAACAAATATATTTAATTAAAGTTTGCGTTCAAAACAAATATTTTACTTATAACTTTTTCAGATTTGACTGCTAGCTGCAAATTCCATTTTTTTTTTAAATTATATTGTATCAGAAATGATGACATAACTTAAAACTCATATTTCGTTTGATTGTTCCAATGGTAGCTATATAATATAGTGGCCCGATGTTGCTGATTTGCTTGCAAAATGTAAAGAAAAATAATCTGCTTGGAAAAGATCAGATCAGATCAGATCAGAAAAGTCTGTTCCGGAATAAGTACACTTTATGGGTTCGACAAAATTATAATACCCTCTACAAGCATATAAAAAGAACCTCAACCTTAAGGAACAACTTCTGTAAATTGCTTAAACTCAATTAAAATCAAACTGAGAAATTCTTAACTTAAAATTCACAAAATACAAACAAACAAAAATGCATTAATTACCTAAAATCAAATTGAATAAATATTTGTGTAAGAGATTTATAGACTCGATTGAATTTATAATAATAAAAGACAAGTTAAAATTACTTTGTTTTGTGTACAAACATTATTGTAATTTCTCAAAGATAATAATAAATAATGGACAAGAGCATTTTTGGGATTTAAATATTTGAAATAAATGTGATGGCAAATTGAACGTCTTTGTTTGGCCAACAATAAATATATTATTTGTAGAAAGAGATTAGCAAATAAATAATTCCCAGAATATGTAGCAGCTACAACAAAACCGAGAAAAACTGATACGTTTTTAATCACAATTTATGGCATTTACAGTTTATTTGCGCATCCCTAAGATACATAATGCCAACTGAGCAGTAGACGAGGAGGCTCTGGCAGAGGCAGAGGGACTGAACTGGACGGGACTGGGCTGGACTGGACTGGTCGGGACTGGCTTAGGCAAATCACTTTGTCTGGCCATTCATTTCAGTGGCACTCAATCTCTGCTCTGCTCTGCTCTGCTCTGCTCTGGTCACACCTGGCAGCAAACTTTAACTCCTCCAGCGTTGCCGTGGCTTGCATAAAGAAGACATAAAAACAACAAGTAACCAAAACAACAACAAATGAAACGAAATGAAATAAAATAAAATAAAATAAAATACACAGCTGCTCACTTTCCGTTTTTGTTTGTGCGTTGCATATTTATAGGCGCATAAAATATTGTCGTTTATTTTTAATTTAATGACAAGAAATTTGTAGCGGGTGCTGCCAATGTCTACACTGTCTACGACACTGCTGCCACTGAAGAGAACTCTTACTCCCATTCCCATTGCCATTGCCATTGCCATTCCCTCAGAAGCGTATTCGTAATTTCCATTGGTAATGGCCTGTGGCAATTGCAATCTATCTTCGCATTTACGACAACAAAACAATTACAACAACAAATATCATATGCGGGGTAGCAGCGATAATAAGCGAGTCTGAACCGCAGCCACCGCCTCCACCTCCGCCTCTGCCTCCGCCTCTGCCTTTGCCATCCTAACCCCCTAACCAGAGAGCAGGCAACGCCAACGCAGCATTCAGCGTGGTCAAGGGACCATCACTCAGTCAGTCGGATGGGCCCAACAACAATGAGGAGCAAGTGGCGCAGCAGGCCCTCATCCTGAGCGCCCTCAGCGTTCTCATCATCGTCGTCGTGGTCTGTTTAGTGCGCTTGGCACGTTGATAAAACATTTCATTTCATTTTATTTTATTTGCAAAACACACGCAGTTTTCTATACCCTGCTGCATATTCCTCTGATTGGCATATTAGACGCTATTTAATTTTATTTGCATGAAAACACAATTGGGTAATCGTCTATATTGACACAATCTTTAATCCAAGCTCTCATCTTGATCTAGTCATATAATACAAAAGTTATTATACACTGCTGTACAAAATATCAGATCTATTCTAATGATTAAGGTACTAAAGGAAATAAAGATGAGATATATATAATCAAACAATAATAATATATTAGCCTTGATTTAATTTATGCCCGCATCTTGTGCAGATCTATAAAAAACTAAACAACTAAGTTCCACAAATGCTCTTTAAAATGTCAGCTATTTTAAAATAAACTCTACAGTTTAAAGTACTTATTAAAATTTAAATAAAACGTGGTAAATTAAAAAAAATACATTCTAATTTAATATATAATTTTCACACGACAAAAACTCACTCTTAAATTCATTTTCCATCTTAAGTATTAAGAATAAAAAACTAACAATTTCGAAATGCAGCTAAAAAAAAATACGACTGGTCTCCGCTGACAAAAGACAGGATATTATGCAGTCGATCAGGCTGCAAATTGTGCAAGTACATGTGTTTTTTAAGCGCAACGTTGGTCATCAGCGCTGCCGCTTCATTTGAATTAAACGCCATCATTTTGGGTCATTATTTGGATACGTGCGCTAAATGAGACGCGACTCTTCTGTATGGTGCCACGCTGCCACGCTGCCTGCCACCGCCCACCGCCCACCACCCGTGCCCCATTAGTTGCCATTTGAGTTACGTGCGTGAAGATTGCGTTTATTTATAACAGTCTGACTGCTTTGCCTGCCGTCCGCGTGGCATATGTTTGCCGATGCTTTTAACAAAATTAAAGGCAACTTTAAAATGTTAACACCTTGTTGTCGCCACTGTAGCTGAGTGCCAGCATAATGCAACTAGCTGCATTACCCCACCTCTACCACACTTCTCACCCTCCCTCTCTCCCTCTCTCTATTGGTCTCCGGCTGAGGTGCATGGTGCATGGTGCATGACGCCGTTGGGTTGCCTTAATTAAAAGCATCTCGCCAAACGACTGCCAAAAACAACGAACAGAAAAAAAATAACAGCAACAACAAGAACAACTCTCAACTTAAATTCAAACTCAAACGCAACTCAAACCAAAACTTGGCGCTTTCGCACTCGCGAACATGTTGCACTTTTTGGTGCAGGTTCTGCCAACTTTATGGCTAGCGGGTGGCAGGCGGTGGGCACGTGTCTGCCGACCGTGGCAGCTTCTAATTAATGTGCGCTCAAAACTTTGCCGAGTAACTGCTAGCAGCCAGGTAAAAATTGGAGGGGGGTGAAAAAAAGAATGGTAAAAAGTAGTAACTGCGACTAAAAGTAACATGAAACACAAATGCCAAAATGCCTGGCAAAGCAGCTCAGCTCAGCGCAGCTCAGCTCAGCACTGGCAATCAAAATCTCAGCCAGCAATGAAAATCGTTTTCTATATTAAGTTACAAATTTAATTTACTGCATGTGCTTCAACGTCGGACCAAAAACCTATCCTTACACCCCCCAAACCCATTTGCAGTGTGTAAACTTTTAAATGACATCGTTGTAATGCCTTTGACCAAGATACAACTGGCAGTCTGCAAATGGCATTGGGTGAACCGGAAATGTGCAAGAGAAAAAACTTTGCAAATGGAATTTTAATTGTTTTAATTATTTCGTTATTGACAAATTGGCCAACAAGTTTGCTTCATTGCCAGCAAATCTTCAGCCAGCACTTGCTCTAATTTACTTTGGCAAATGTAAACACATTAAAACTATTAATAAAATCAAGTTTCAGTTTGTATATTTTATGAATTTCATTTATTTAGCACAGAATAAATGTCATTAAATGTTATAAATCCTCTTTCCAAATGCATAGAATTTATATAAAATGAGCAAGAGATCGAGAGTCCTTCAGATGTCATAAATTCAATTGCAAAGTTCAGTTGCAGATACATAAAGCAATCAATCACTATTAATTTGTTAATATTTCAATTAAATGAAATTAATTCAAATTTTACAGTGGTCAAAATTTAAAGAACGATTCGAAAAAAACTTGTTGCAATGTTCGGAATTTAATCAGAAGCAACTTGTTTTGAGCACAAATGCAAGTCAACCATCAAATAAAATCTTGAAATCTCATTCTGATTTTGTTCTCGGCATCTTTGTTGGTTTGTAAAGGGTGAATTTATATTTATATTTATATTTATATAAATTTATTAAGGCCTCATTCTTGTTCCTTTCAAACTTATTGTGCTCGGACTGGTTTATATTAAATATTAAATTACATTTTTGCTGACAATTTATTAAGAGGAAAATAAATGTACAAAAGAACATTTTTTGCATAGAATATCGTAAACAATTCTAGAACATGGCGGCATCGTTCGCTTGTTTGTGATAACTGAATATTTTATTACATTTGCCTTTGCGTGGCGTTGGCTGCCAATTGGCAGCATTGTCAGCGTCACTCAAAAGCATCAATATGTAAGCAAGGATTCAGGACAATGCCATCATGCCCGCATGACACATGACAGTCCGAAGAGGCTGAGGCAGTGGGGACTAGGGGAAAAGGGGACTAGGGGAAATGGGAGATTTAACGTACGCGAGCATCAACAATGAATGTAATTCAATATGCAAATTGGCGACGACAATTTTCTACTTTTTCCGCTGTTTTCCCACACACTCACACATTTTGCAAAATGGCCGGATTGTGTGTGTGTGTGTGTGTGTGTGTGTGTAAGGACTACTTTTCTTTTCTGCCTGATTATCGTAGCTGTGAGGCGATACATCGACTGTGTATTTGCCGTGCAACTCAATCGCTAATATTTAACCGCTAACCAAAATCCAATTAGGCATCAACATATTCTGTCATTAGTTCGGCAACATGCAACAGAAGCCAGCAACCGCAACTGCAACAGGAACAGCAACCAAATGTTGCTTGTTGTTGATGGATTTGATATCCCGTCCAGTTGTGCCAGTAATTAATTAGACTCGCAGGCATTTTATATGAAGAGTCCTAGGCCAAAGCACTAATTGAACATGAAATGGCATTCAGTTGTCTGCCTGGCTCTTTTGTCTCTCTGTGTGTGTGTGTGTGTGTGTGTGTGTGTGTGTGTGTGTGTGTCCCATCCAAGCAACATCATCAATGTCATTATTATACTCCTCAAGCTAATCGTAATGTCCATGGACTCAATATAGCTCGCTCTCTCTCCATCTCTCTCTACATCTCTCTCTCCATCTCTCTCTCTCTCTCTCTGTGTCTGTCTAAGTAGACGTCTCTGCTTTGTGTGCATCCCAAAATTCATCAGCACGAATTCTGATGTCGACTAAGTGCAGCTGACAGCACTTGAAAACTGCACAACGCACTTGAAAGCTGCATGTTGCGCCTTAGGCTTTGCAGTCTTACTGTGCCACTCGTGTCATCCATCTAAATCAGTCGAAAATATGCCCCTCCTCACACACACACACAAAGCTATATCTATGTATATATATACATATGTGTGCATATTTTCCTACATATGTTTCCTACGCATGTCTCTGTCTCTGTCTGTGTCTGTGTAGTCTGTGGTTTTTGGGTTTGGCTCTCGTTCTGACTCTGACTCTGACTCTGACTCTCTCGCTGACTGTCTGTCTGGCAGTGTGGATATGGTGGGTTCGCATTCATGTACAAGATTTCAAATTAAATAAGCACAAATCAAATATTTTGCAATTTCTGTCACTGCATGCCATTGCTGTGGAAGTGGTTCTGCATGCTGAAATGGAAATTGCTGTGGAAATGGCAATGGAAATGGAAATGGGCAGTGCTGTTGCTGTTGCTGTTGCCGTTGCTGTTGCTGTTGCTGTATTGCTTTGAGTGGGTGGCAATTTTGGGTTTAGTTTATTGTGGATTGTGGATTGTTGCGAAAGGGGTGGTGCCTTCCGACATTGATTTATGTGGTTTTAGCGGCCCTGTTCAAAGTTGTTGTTGTTGTTGTTGCTACTGCTGTTGTTGTGAGTTTATTTGGTGTGTAGTTGGTTGTAGATGGTTTATTGGCTGAAAAATTAAGTCGGTAGTGGCAAGTGTTGAGTGTGTCGGAAGTGATGAGGCATCGAGATTATGGTTTCATGCTTCGTTCATAGATTGTTGCTCTTGATTTGTGTCGTGTGTGTGTGTGTATGTGTGTGTATGTGTGTGTGTGTATGTGTGTGTGTGTGTGGGTATGTGTGTATGTGTGTGTGTGTGGGTATGTGAGTTTATTGTATTAGCCCGGGTGCAAAAGTCTAGCCTTTGAACAGCATGCGAACAAGCTTATCGACAGCTTATTGAACATACTTTAGATTTGAGGCATGCTTTCGATTAGAGACTCTCAATTTGCGATGATGGATTGAGGCCAGACTCCAAGTTGTATGTTTCAAATATTATAAATTTAAGAATCTTATATGACACATGTGTGGTACGTATATTAAGTCTGGCTTAATTCACGAATGGCTTTTAGCAATTGTATTGAAATGTGCAACTTTCGGTCGAGTGGCTTTCTACCAGTTTTAACTTGTGATAATTAATCCAATCGATACCGAATATCTATAATCAGAGTTGCTACAATTAAAACGAAATTACTGAATACTGATAATAATTATATATATTTTTATATTAATCATATCAATCTTAAACCTCTCGTGTCCAAGACGACCTCAGTTTATTTCACGCCTATTTCCGTTTTCCGATTTTGTTGTTACTTTAATTAAAAAAATGGATTTTGTGGCATTTGCAACACATGCTAATGATTAGATTAGCTATTGTACTCATATGAAATTGTCAATAAATAATAAATAATTATTTTGCAAAAAGTGCAAATTTCAAATGAATAAAAGAAATTGATTAAAGTTGATCGCAGTTGGATATAAATATAAAAGTCGTTTTGGTGGCCGTCTTGAAAGCCTAACTAAATTTCTGGATGGAAGTTTTGAAGACTTTCTTGCAGGCCTGTCAAGATAGACAGCATGCCATCAGCATACTAATTAGTAATTGCACAATTAATTTAATTACCACTGCAATTGTGCGATAGCAAAAACATGGTTGAGATTCCTATATCGATATTGAGAGCTTCTATCGACGCAAGTGCGTCACTTTTTATAACTTGGCCACACTGTCGATTCACAAGTCGATTAATTGCTGATCCCACGAAAGTTATTTCTTTCATATTTGTTTTCATTGCATTTGTTTATTGGCGCGTCTTGTGACAGTTCATCTTGCCACAAAAGCAAAACAAACGAAACTCAATCTTCGCATTGAATGATAACTTCTGCTGTTTAAATCAAGAGTGCTCAGAAATCTGTTTAAATAACTGAATTTGCTAACAAGGCTTGCAGTTGAGTTCAGTTTTCTGCCAGATTTCAGCATAGCAAATTGGAGCCAATCAATAGTAGACGCCTCCCCGCTGATCCTACAAAATGGAAATGGCTAAGGCAACGCCAGCTGGTAAGTGGACGACGCATAGGAGGGGAAGTGGAAGTGGAAGGGGGCTGCTGACTAGCTAATTAGGCAGTGAACGGGCAAAATTATGACAAATTAAAATGCAGTCCTTGCCGGGTGTGGAGCGGGGCGAGCGGTGCTCGCATAACAATGGCAGGTGGCTCGTCTGTGTGGGTCGAACACATGCGCACACGTCCGTAATTACCCATGGCCAGTGCACTAACAAAAGGCAGCCAAATGGCTGAGCTGTGAAGCCGGCAAAATAAAGAATGGCCCAAAAAGGGTGACGAGACAAAAGAGCGTTTTCCCGTTGCCTCCCCGTTGCCTGCCCGTTGCCAAGCATAGTCATATGGCCAAAAGCCATGTGAATGGGGCTGGGTGCGTGTTGCTTGCCGTTCGTCACGGCCGTTTGTGGCTCATTGGTTCGAGCCGGAGACGGTAGACGATTGGGCAGTGGCAGAGTGCTTGGGTGCAAGGGCAATTTTTCATGGCGCAGTCCGGGCGCGTTCTCCTTGTCGGCCACGGCCCACATAAATTAACCGAAACGTATTAATTCTTTTATATGCCCATACCCTCAACCATGGCCATGCTCCCTGTCCTGCCCTCGACTGCTCGTGTCCTTTTTTATATGCGTGCAAAAATTTATGCTTGAATTAAATATGATGACCAAAAAAGCAGTCGCAGCAGCAGCAGCAGCAGCGGCAGCAGTCCGACAATGTTGTGCCCTTCTTATTTACACATGTAGTACAACACGGCGTATACGCATCGTCGTCGTCGTCGTTGTCGTTGTCGTAATGTACGTCAGTGTGCACAATTAATCTTGCAACGTGTTTTATGTGCCTTCTTCGATGGTGGAGACACACTCCAACCCCCAAAACTGTGGCCATCATGCTGCGGCTGGGTTATAATTGAATTTTCATAGCCATTACCAGACGTCGACGAGGACGTTCTCATCGTTCTCATCGTTCCCATCGCTCTTGTCGGCTCGGTCATTATTTAAATGTAACGACGCTTTATTATTACGGCAATCGAAAAGCAAATGATTTCGGCTTTATAAATATAAATCAAATTAGTGGCAAGAATGTGGGCCAAGAAAGTAAAGCGGCGCCGTTCTAGTGCTCAATTTTGTTTGTTGGCCAAGACAAGCAGGCAGCCACATGTTGCACGGCCATTTGGTCAACGTGGCGTGTGGTTAATGTGCAAAACGTTTCCTTAGCTAGGACAATATAAAAAACACATTTATAGAGCATCAGGAATGGCAGGCGCTGCCAATGGACGGACTACACCAAAACGACATTTAAGTACACATTGAGCATTTTAATAAGTGGAAACAATTTGATAAGCAGTTCAGCTACTTAGGACACAGTTAATAATAAAAAGCAGATATAGTCTTGGAAAATGAAGCGCATAGTGTGTAGGCAGGCTATTTATAGTTATTTAAAGTATAATTTCTTTGATTTGATTCAAAACATGCGAAACTTACCGTCGAATTATTGTAGAGTTCAATTTAAGCTGCAAGCAAATCGAAAATTTAATTAATATTAATATTATTTTAATTTGCATCAAGTTAGACAACTTTCGCTTTTCAAATATTGTCACAGTGAAAGTTGAAGGAAATCAAAATAAAATTGTACAATTGTCTTGTGAAATCTCACTTTCATCTCTCGTTTTAGATTCAAGCAAAAGAGGCGATTTGGTTTTTGCTCAGAAACGTGGCTATATGCCTTGGCCGGCCAAGCTGATAGACAACTCGGACAGATTGTGTGGTCTGGTGCAGTTTGTGAATACCAACGATCGCCATCTGATACCCTATGCCAAAATATGGACATGTAACCAGCGATCTAAGCAAGAGTTTATCACCCTTCAGGCACTGCAATGTGAGGAATTTTATGAGGCTATTCTAGCGACGGAGCTTATTGATTCACAGCCACCGAAAGGCAAGCAGCAGCAAGAGTTGCTGCTGTTAGATACGTTGCTGCTGTACCGGAACACGTTGCATGTGGAGCCGCAGTTCATCGAACAGGTTAACAAATTGCGCAGGTGCCTCACTCGCCACAGGCAGGATTATGCAGCGGCGCAGCTGGCCTTTCAGAAGCTGCTGGAGCTGAAACCATTTAGTCGACTGCTGCTCGTTCGGAATCGGGAAGCGGTCGAATCTATACGCAAATTGGTCGGCTTTGTCAACCATACACGTCCAAATCCAAACGAACCGCAGATGGTCCGTTATTTGGCTAAGCGCCTAATTAGACGCTTTGCCGGCGTCTTTTCGATATCGACGAACATTTCAAATTTTTGGTCATCATATTATATGCAAGCTGACATTTACAGACGCCATGCAAGGCTGTCAGAGTGTGACGCAAACCCAAATAAATCCACGTAATATAAACAAATAAATGCCCTTGGGTTTGTATAAATAGCCAATCATGTCAAGATATTTGTGATTGCTGCGGCAACGCCACTTGTGCAAGTGACAAATATGGCTTGTGAGTGTTTGGGGCTGGCTCCAGCCATTGTCCGAGATGTTGACGCTAGGTAAACACGAACAGCCCAGATAAACAATCGATCAAAAAATTAGACAAATCATCAGATGACTGTCGTTGTACAATAAACAAAAGCCAAATGTGTTCACGCCATGACACGCCACCAACACCCTTGTAAACACACACACACACACACAACACATAAACAAAAAATGCTTGTGAATTGGTCAAGCAAACAGCATTTCACTTTGCACACAGCTTCAGCGCGAGCTGGACAGCTGCCCTGCCCAACGGGCAACGTGGCAGGGCAGGGCAGGGCAGGACAGGACAGGGCTGGGCACAACACTAAAGGCAAATTCAATTTGAGCTGTCAAAAATCTAACCAATATTGGCTGCGTGTGCAATGTGTGTGTGTGTGTGTGTATCTGTGTGTGTTAGATTGGGGGGCGTTGTTTTGGGTGCTATCGTAGAGCACAATCGATTGAAAACATAAATGAAATTGACAGCCAGCATGCCAGGTGATCAGCCACCGTTAGTTAGCCGCCCAACTGCACCACCAGCACCACCATCAGCACTCCGCCTCCTTTTTGTGTTTTTAGCTAGCTGACGTTTTGTGTTGGCCTTTGAAGTTGCCAAAATAGAGACGCATCCATAGCATTGTTGACCATTGTAGGTGTTCATGTGAAGGTAAAGCATCAAATTAATTTGACATTTGCTTTGTCACTGACAGTCGAACGGACATACATAGATAAAGCTGCAGGTCTTACGGTTTTAACTCGTTTTGCAAGCCATCAATGCCAAATCATCTCCATAGCTAATGATATGTACGGATATGGGTTAGAGCCTTTTGCTGTTTTCTATGCCTTTGATGCGAATGCATGCAACACATGAAGCTTGCCCAGTTATTTGGCTTATTGCCACTTGGCCAAAGTGAAAGCTCTTAGAGAAATTAGCACATGCTAAAAGACTTGATCTCAGTGCTTAGTATTGCAAAAAACTGTTGTGAAATAACAAACTTTACGCTTGTAAATGGAAATAAATAAATAAAAATAATGACCCAATTTATAGCAGGCCCAGCCCCAACTACAAAATGTTGGGTCATAGCAATAATAATGTTATTTTTTAATTTACCTAAAATGCTTCTAACACACACACACACATACAAGCTCTTAATATGGCGAAAATACAAAGAACAACAATAATAATATGGGACATGAGCTAGCATGGAACTAAGGTGGACAACATTGCCCCACCACGATGTGGAGCACAGTGGCTGCACAGCCCCTGATTGAAATGTGAGCTGGAAAACACATTTCACATCATAATAAATACGAAAACAGCCGAATAACCATATAAATTCTATTGACGTTGAACAAATTTGATTTGATTTGGTTTTTCATCTAAATAATTGTTTGCTTTAAATATACAAATATATTTTATAATATTATTAATAATATATCAAATTTGAATTGTGTTAGATCATTTCGTTGACATTTATAAAACAAATACGTAATTTTGAAATTTGATTAATCCCAAAATATCAACTTCAATTTAACAAAGCAAAGTCAATCGAATTATTTGCGAAATATCTGCCAGAAAAAACTTCTTTTTTTTTGTTGTAATATGGACCTTTTTGTTATCAGCATATCTACAACACTTCGTCCAATTAGCGATATAAACGAAACCCATTACACTCAATACAAGACCGCGCAAAGTATCAGAATAACAAGAAAAGTATCACATCATTTTGAATAGCGGTGTTGTAACCACTGTGCGTGTCAGCTATTATGTCATAAGCACCGCTACTTAGTGGCGGATTTTGTTTTTATAGCAAACGTTCTCAGTCCGAGGGATTTTTTGTTGTTTTTTTTTTTTTTGAGACTGCATTAAGTCCCTGGAGCTGTTTGAAGTTCTTTGAATTTTGTGAATAGGTGTGTTGCCTACTTAACGAGGGCTTGTCAGCGTGATACATAAATACACACATACACAAACATACATACATACATCTTGAGTGCCTGTTGCTAATTTTATTAAGTTTTGCACTTACCACTCTAATGAATTGATTTTATGTTTTGTTTATTTTCATTTTCATTTTTGTTTTTGTTTTTTTGTTTTTTTTTCTTGTTGCTTTTGCTTTTGCTTAGCTCGCAAATCATCAAATGAACTGACCGTTGGGTCAGTGATTGTAATTTATGTGCCAGCTTCTGATATTTATCTAAACAGTGAGTCAGAACTCAGAGGCTGAAGCTTATCGCCAGCTCACGATGTTTTTTGTGGCCCACAACAAAAATAAACAACGGGCGGCACAGCTTTTGATAAGGCAACAACAACAAGGAGAATAACAACTGTTGACTTGCAGCTGTGATTTATTTTGCTTTTAAAACGCATTTTAAAGTGCTCAGCCGTAAAACTAAACTCTCTCTCACACAGATACACACACATACACATACGAGTACACACAACAAATTCTGCTGACTTTTAAGTGCACTCATAAAAATGCTGGAAAATCCTGACTCGGCTTGTATTTTCGCTGGCAATTCTTTTTTTTTTTCTGTGTTTTCTGCTTTTTTGATACTAATTAAAAATTGTATATTTATCAAAGTTAGAGAGTCACAGCCAGCAAAGTAATTTGCCGAAATAACCAACAAAACTAAAAACACATGCGGAAAGCAAACGCATATGCATAACACACACACACACACACACACACACACACACACACACACACACGCACACACACAGACAAACATACATATATATTTTTGCGGGCAGAAAGATTTTGTTGACAGAAGTTTACAATAAAACGAAAGTTGAATGCACAAGTTTTTGCGCCCGTCGTTTGTGGGGACTTAGCTTTGAGGGTGCAGTCCCCTAGCCGGAGGGGCTGGTGGTCTGTTTGCGCAACTTACAGCCAAAGTAAACTCATTACCAATGCAAACAAACAGGCGGTGAAACTTTTAAAAACCGCCCAGAAACTATTTGCGTGCACAGTCCCCAAAACGTAACCAAATGAAAATGATTATGAGGCGAATATACATATGTAAGTTTGGGTGTAGATTAAAAACAAAAACAATAACAATAACAAAAACAAAAACATAAAATAATAATAATTAAGTGCTCGCATTTCAATTCAAAACGCAAATTAGGCATTCTACGTGCGGAACGTGGGCAACATGTCGGTCTGAACTTTAGCACATTTTTCGTCATTTTGTTACTGACCAAAAACCAAAAACACAAAAGCCAAAATGCCAAAATGCCAGCCATGCATGTCATGTGAAACCAAATGCAAATAGTTGCTTTGCGGCCGCGTTGTGTTTCTCTGTTGATCAACTTGTTTTATTGATGTATTAATTTTAATTAGTTTACATTTGGCGCCGACTCGTCATTGTTAATTAAAATACATTTGCCAAAATGATCAGCAATTAAACGCTGTATTATATTAATTATACAAATTCTTTTATCTGCTCTATTTGCTTGTTCAACCAAGTAGCAAAAACATATCAATGTGAATCGAAAACATTTTTTCGCTCTTGTTCGCTGAATTTAACGGGAACTTGTAAACAACATTTGCAGCAATTTTATTAACAAAAAAAATAAATATAATAAAATAAGTAAATATCAAATAATGCATATATATAATGTTAAATATAATTAGATTGCATTTACTACAATCCAAACCACTAATAATAATCGAGCATTTTTCTGATAATAAAATGAATAAAAATCGGAGCCTACTTTAAGTGATATTTATATTAAAAGTGGATTGGTTTGTAATAGGTTCAGGATAACCATCTATCATATAGCTCTAAGAGTATTTGCTTAATTCGGATCACCATTTTTCTGTGCAATTTTGTTAAGTTGGCTTACAATTATTTTTAATGTTAGCGCGGTTATCGCAATTGTAAAACTGCAAAGAACAAAAAAACAAAATCCTAGTTTTATAGCCTTTTTTCGTGAGTTTGTTGCCCACAATGCGCAATGTGTAATGTGTAATTAAAATGTGGCAGACAACAACATGGGGGACACGGCCGCATTTCCGATGTTACTGCTGTTGTTGCAACTACAGATGCCAGGCCACTCATTAACCAAATGGTAATAATTAATTGAGATATGTTTTACAACTGGCAGCGCAGCAGAGCGCTTGTTTCCATGTAACGGCCAAACAGGCAGTATCTGTTATTTTATTTATTAATTTGATTAATGCACTGACGCTGATCAAGTGTACGCCAAGTTGAACGACAAGCTTTAAACCATGTGCATGTGTCTCACACTGTACCACAGGCTGGACCAGTTAATTGCATTAAGTTAAACACTTAACAAGTAATGCGATTAGCGTCAAGTAAGCACTTTGGGGGCACACGGCCAGCAACTGTTGCCAAAGTGGGGGCAACAAACTGTAACGTTAGTTTAGTCACTGACCACCAAATTTGTGTCCCAGCAGAACACGTTGCCAATCAGCAGCTTCCAACTTTCGTTGGACCAATTAAGAACGCATTTCATGCTAATCGCCCGTCTGCCCGGACGCATTAGGTGCAGTTGAGTGCATTTCATTTAAATGAATTACAAGCGAAATATGACTGCCACTTGGTTCCAGCCACGCCACACAAGCAGAACCGAGTCAGAGTCCGAGAGGCGAGTCCGAGAAGCGAGTCCGAGTCCGACTCCGAGTTGTAAATGTACTCAATGCTCATTAAGCAGCAGCAGCAGTGGCAGCAGCGGCAGCCGCACGGACGCCAAATGTTAATCAGTTTTTCCATTCTATATACGAGTGGGGAGCGAAAGCGCAAATCACAAAACACAACAACGCACAAAAATTGGTAATTAGCGCTTTAGAAAATGGGGGTTCGGGTTTGGTGCTAAGCAGGGATGCGAACAAGGCTACTGAGTTGGTTGTATGCGGCGCTTTGATGCCATGTT